GCATCCCGCTGTAAGCCTTGTCCACTGTCCACTCGCCCGGGGCTCCGGGCCCGGCCCCCGTCTCAGCCCCCGCGTAGCGCTCCATCTCCTGCTGGAACTGCTGATGCCTTGGGTGACCAGGCAACCCCCGTGCAAGGCAAAGTCATCCAGCTCCCCGACCCAGCCTGCGGAGCAGAGCCTTGTTAGGAGGCTGCAGCACAGCCAGGACTGCACAGGGACACGTGGCCAGCGAACACCGACATCAGCTCTCTCGCCCACAGCGCCCGCCTGGACTTGAGCTCAGATACACCAGCTCTCCCGCCCACAGCGCCCGCCTGGACTTGAGCTCAGATACACCTTACAGGAGCTGCTCCTTCTGGTGCCCATTCACCTTCGTGCCACCCCACCCTGGCACCTATGAGGAGTTCACCAGAGGTCCCCTGAGTGCAAAATGCCCATTGCCTCCACGTCTCTACTCAGCACAAGGGGCTCTTGCATTCTGCATCCAGCCGCTGTTTTTCTCAACCCTTCCCACAAATGGAAGCTGGCATGGAGGAGATGGTGCTGCCACTAGAAGGCCTGTGAAAGTCAGAGGCTTGCAGCTGTACTAGGGATAGCATTTCAGCAGTTCTAAATGACCCTCTCTTTACAGAGGTCCCATGGTTTTTCTGTGGCAGACTTGCTTCAGCAGCCACTTTCCATTTAGGAACACATTGCTCATAAAAACACCACAGGGCTCTTCTCAGAGGACAGCAATGGTCTTAGTATTATCACCCAACAACACAAACACTGGTCTTGTGACCTTCTCTGTGGATTTTCTAGAGATGGAAACATGAGCCACTCCCAGGGGACCTGGGATGCTATGCTCCTTCCCCACATAGCTCAAAATCTGCCACCAAAACGCTCTGGAGCCATACTCACCAGCAGCCTGGAATATTCCTGTCAATCCCACAACTTGTCAGGGAAAACCACACTGTGCTTTGTGACAAAAACAGCCCCAAGGACACATACCATTGGGCTGTGGCTCAGCTACAAAGCAGAGCCTGTACAGGGTGGCCCCTGCCTCCCTGTGCTGCAGAGCCCATGGCCGTGCTTTTGTCTACCTCCCCTCCCCACCCCTTTGGGCAACACCACATCAGTGACACATTTTGAATCGCAGACCAAGTTCCAGCAGGAGTTCCAGCTCGCACAGCGGGATGGGAGGCAGCTGGCGATGGCAAGTGCAGCCAAGGTCTTTTGTTTGCTAGCTAGTCCCATCCCCCAAGGACATCAGGAGCCACTGACCTACTGCCTGTAAACAAAGGCCTTTCAGAGTCAGGAAGCTCCTACCCAGCTGGTGACAAGTAGAGTCTATGGTTCCCACTAGCAGGCAGCTACCACCCTTGGGCTGTTTCTGAGCTCCCAGCCACAGCAAGACTATGGCTGTCACCTCCTGCAGTCCTACTGCTCCCAAGAGCAGAGTCTTGAACTGAGCCCATACCTTCTCCGTCCGACAGGTAGTTGTACCAGAAGACAGCAGTGCCTTGCTGAGGTTTCACTCGCAAATTGCCCTTGTCACAGTTTTTCCGAGTATCTCGCAGGTCAACATCGTTCTGGATCAAAGACTGGAGAGAAACCACAAGGCAGGTGTTGGAAATGAGGCTGGAACAAAGCACGTGCACTTGACTGCCCCTGCTGCCAGCTGTCACCCTGCCCCTTGCCTGAGTGCCCCACAGGGACATGGCTGACCCAAGGGCTTCCACAACCCACCTGGAGCAGCCAGTTTCAGGCCCCTAGAGGTCCATAACCTGTTTCTGAGCAGCTGCTCATTCCTTAACACATTGCCAGACAGGAACACAACATACCTGCCAAGGCTTAGTCTGAGGAAACCCATCCAGACAGAAGTGAGCAGGACTCATGTTATGGCAGCAAGGCCAAGAGACCTTGCACCTCTGAGCAGGGAGAGCTGCAGCTGTCACAGCCCTGCACCTCTCCCCTTGGCCTCAGGGAAAGGACTGTAAGCAGAGCACAGCTTCAACATGCTCTAGCTACAAATGGTAACACCCATCAACCTCACAATCCAGACCCCTTCTGCACCCACAGTGAATAAAGACATTCAAATACATACTCAAAATCCCCAGGGGTAACATGTAGAAAAGGTTTGCTTACCATCTCTTCATACGTCCTGTTATCAGCAATAGGAAAGACTGTTTCGCCTCCCCCAGTCACATTGTTCAGGTAGAACAGCACAGTCACATACCTGCAAGACAGAGTGGCTGTCAGGAGGCACACCTGGAACAGGAGGAAATGCAGAGGGGCTGTCTGTACAGTGGCTCCTCCAAAACACCACAATGATTTAATATTCATCAGCTTTTCTCCAAGGATAACACAAGGACAACAAAGAAATTCCACACACGAGAGTGTCTTTGTAGGTTCTGGTGGGAATGGCCCAGCAGCTCTGCAGAAACACTCCGCCCTTCCTCTCTGGACCCAGAGGATTTGCTCACCTCCTCATTCAAACCCCCTCATGCCAGCAACCTCCTGAGCTAGTTTGTGAGCCCACAACCCAAGCACCGAGTCCCATGTGAGGTGAGGTAAACCAGCTCTCCACACCACTTCCCTGATGCATTCCAGAGCGTGCCAGGGCAGAGCTTACCGGCAGGAGGTCTCAAAGGGAGCGCTTTCATTGGCAACAAGCTTCGTGTGGCTGCAGGCAGTCTCAGGGAAGACAGGGCCACTGTCCATGTGGGCATGGTAGTGCCCTCCTTGGTCGTACCGCACCACCTGCAGGGGCTCACTGTGCTCCACAATCTCGGGGGGCAAGCGAGTGAGGCGCATTACCCTAGGGAAGAGCAGAGCAGGTGAGTGGAAACACCCTCACTCTGGTTGACCACTACTCCCAAGCAGTGAGTAAATCCAGAAAAAGATAACCCCCTTCCCCGACAGACCGGAGAGACGGATGGGCTGCAGCGAGCATGCCAAGAGATAACCAGGTCCTTACAGATCTGTGGGACCATCAGCATCAGCTCAGAAAGTCCTTGTCAAGGTTAACAAAAAAAACCAAACAAAGCCGAAGGGTGCATCTCCAGCAGGACTGCTCTCAGGAAGACTTTGCTTGCCCAGCAAGATCCCTTCTGTGCGTGTCCCTGGAGCCTTCATGTGCCATCTCATCACTTCTCTGGACTCCTGTACACCACCTACAGACCTCGGGGACAGTTAGCAAAGCACAGGGCCCCTGCTGAGAGTGAACGAGAGACTAGCTCTAGGAATAGTCTTGTCACCTAACTCACCTTTCCCTGTTGCCTTTTCAGTAGCCTCCCCCAGGGCAGAGGGGCACTGGAAGTGATCAAGGAGACCGGAGCCCTCCTGCTCTGGGATTTTTCCACTGCTACATCTGAGATCATCCCCAAGGCAAGCAGGTACGTCTTGAGACCTGCCAAAGAACACTCAGAGCTCTGAGAATCCAGACTGGTGAAGCCCTTGGGGCAGGTGGCAAAGCCCCTCCAGGCACTGCATGGTCCCAGGGAGGACTAACAGCCTCATTCAGTGCTGCATCTTCATGTCCTCCCAGCAGAGGCCAACTGAAGAGCGGTGCTTGTGTTTGCTGGCTAGCTGGCACAGGGAAGGTGGCAGCCACAGTCTGCCCTAATCAAGGCAATATGCAATCCCATTCTCCCACTGGAATGCACTGAAGAAAAGGAGTGGCCAACAGCCGTTTTCAAGCCTCAGGACAGATTTTACCCACCCATGTTCTGGGCAAGGACCAGCACCACAAGAACGAGAATCTCCAGCCAATTTTCTGAAACACCACAGCTACACAATTTGGTCTGTGTGCTGGGTTTCAGCTCCTCACAGTACCAAATCTGAGATGAAGGGAAGGGTAAGAGGTTCTCCCACCTGCCTGAGCTGCTCTGCAATATGTGTGCTCAGGGGGTTAAACTAACTTGGCATACTTGAGGTGAGGCTGTGCTTGTCAAAGTCAGCTCTGAACAGCTAAGACAGACTTCAGTGAAATGCATGAGTAACTAAAGCAAATGACAGTGACTACTGGCACCCAGACAGCATTGGAAACAGGCAGTTTCTCCCACTAAGCTCATTTACTAATTAGAATGAATGATTTCATATAATGCCAAGTCTTCCTGGTTTTATAGGGCTGTTCCCAAAAGTGAATGGAGATGCTGAAAGATTTGGTTTTTCTTTTGCCTTTTTCACGGGACAATACTAATTCTTGTTCTAATGAAAACCTCCTCTCCCCATTTTGTGTCTGTGTTCATTGCTCTTTATACTCTAAAAACTTCCACACAATTAGGAAGTGTGAATATTAGCAAGTCTGCCACTGCCTCTCCCAGCACAGGTGATCCTTGTGCCTACCCAAACCCAACGGCCCCTCGGCTGCCTGGCCCTTACCTTTGCCGTATGGCTCTCATGACCTGGTGTGCCCCCTCGCCCTGGTACAGCCAAGTGTGCTGGCTGTTGCGCACCAAGTCACTCATCTTCACTTTCTGGCTTCCCATGTACTTGTGGAAATCACGGATATTCAACTGTTTGAACTCCTCCAAACTCAGCACACCTATGGGAGCAGAGGAAGAGTCACCTGACTCTGGTGCAGGTAATAGTTCTTGGCATCCTGTACTTGCAGAAACACCAATGAGGGCACTGCAGAAACTGCCCTTCTCAAGCAGACCCCATTCAGAGTCCACCTGTGCCCACCATGGACTGTACCCCCTATGCCCAGGGTCACAGGCCCCAGCAATGCTTTCACCTGTAGCAAGGGGCATACAGCAACCTGACAAAGTGAACCGTGCAAGGTCCAAACTGGGACAGGTAAACCACCATCTTGAACTTTCAAAAAACGCCTAAAACACATAAACCAATCCATTGAAAGAGAGAAACAGTCATTACAGACCTAACATACACAAGAAAGTCTGTGCCACCCCATGTCTTGGGGCTTGTTACTTAGATACTTAAATAGACACATTTAAGGACAGAATGGGACACCTCAGACCATGACCTTTCAGAGTAATTATAAAAAGCAAAACCCAAAACCAGCAGCAAATTCTCCTGCATTTTTCTAACTGCAAAACATGAGTGAGGAATACATCAGAGTATGATCTTGTGTAAGTAGAAATAACAGAAAAGCAAGAGGTGCAAAGCTGTTTCTCCTAGAACAGACACTGGTTGCACTCAACAGACTCAGCAAGGGGTAAGTTTTGCCTTTGCTGGCTTCAGAAAAACCCTCACACTTATTGTATCCCCTTTCTGGAGAAGGGAAGCCTCACCCTGGGGACCAGGTCCCTGACACCAGTGTGCAATGTGCTGCCCAGCAGCCAGCACACATTGTGGGCTGAGTGGAGCTCACTCAGGCAGCAAACCCAGTGCTGGTGGGTGCCAGTTCTGCTCCCTGGGGCACATGGCACCCTTTGGCATCAGGAAGGACCGATCACCAGGGTCAGCCTGGGACAATTCCTCAGGTGCCAGTGGTTGTGACCAAATGATCCACTGTTATTATTCCTAGTGTCTCCCTGTCCCTACTTCCCCTTACTCCCCGTGGTCTTTGATAACGCAGTGCCACATCCAGGTTGTGACCTGGTCTTTCAGTGTCACATACCAGTCTAACAACAGAGAGAAGCAGCACACTGGAAACAAGAGCCCTTTAACAGGACCTTTCATTTGTTAATGTCCAGAATAGTGGAGAAGCCACTGAGGACTCAGTCATGCCTCTGCCAAGAATGCCATCAGCCTGGAGGAGAGAGGCATAGGGTGCCCTCCGGATATTTACACATTCACACTGGTATTGCTTCAACTCCAAAGCAGCTCCTCCTGGGCAGCTCTCAATGCCAGGTCACTGGAAGAGAGCGTGCAGAGCCTGTGCATTCACTTAATTTGATTAGGAAGCGGAGTGCTGCTTAATTGAGGCCACTCTAATTAGAGCAGCAGAGGTTAAGAGTGCATGTCCGGACCAGCGGGAGCCCTTGGGAGACAGGGGCAGGAGGGGCAGAAGTGGCCTCAAGTAATACAGAGAGTTTGCAGTGGCAGAGAGGGGGTGAGTGACAAAGGCTGACCACAAGACAATCTCCACTTATTTCACGCTCCCCTGCAGTGACACAGGGTTCCCAGTTTGCTGCAGAAGTCCTTGAAAACAGCAGGGAATGGAAGGTGTGTCTTAACACCTGTATCCCAGGTAGTAAGAGCTCTGCAGCCAGAGCCAGAGCAGCCTCTCAGACCAGGGGAGCAGAAGCACACTCTGAAGGTCCTGTTTCAGCAGGGTATGAACCAAGGCAGGTCTGACTGGGAGTGCAGAACTGCATTCTGGTCCTGCTCCTGCAAGATCCAACCCCAGGTGGTGGGACCAGTCTGCTGCTGGACTGGTGACACAGGGGCAGGAGTGCTGCGATATGAGGTTTACATTGAGTTTACTTCCCTGAGAAGGACTCTAAAGCAGTGTTACTTTCCTCTGAAGAACACAGGCCTGGGAAGGGACACGGCTGTGTGAGGCATCCAGTGTGCTGAGGGCAAAGGGATTCTCATGCTGCTGCTCTTACCATTCCCATCGGGATCAGCCTTGACTGCTGTGTACATCTCCCGGATGTTTTCAGGGGTCATCCACCTGCCATTCCCAAGTCGGGTGTGGGTCAACACCTGAAATTCATAAATGGATCAACACAGGGCACTGGCTTCTTGTACCATAAACTCTACAGACTCCCTGTGTGAGGCCTGGCAGGCTCTCCTCTGCAGCACATCAGTCAGCCAAGCATAGGCACATCTCTGCAGAGAGACAACCGCAGTGAGAATCATCTGGCAGCCACACACAATGTGTGGCTGATGAGTGCTGTTATTTCCAGTTTAGGTCACGGTAAATGACTGCTGGGACTTGGTTAACCAGCCCTGAGGTGGAGGGGGCACAGCTCTTTCTGTGGAAGGGTAAGTAAAGCTATTGCTGATAAAAGTGGATGCTTTTACTTGTCAAAGATAAGGGCCTGGAACAAAAAGCTTCCTTTTCACATGTACAGAGAGATGCAGAATCCTGGAGAGTTCTCACCAGGCTCTGACATCCAGAGAAAGGGGTCTTGCCCAGGGTTGTCACTGGCACAGTTCCCCATACTCCACAATTCTTGTGGCCCACAGGACGGTTCAGACCCTGTCTGAACCAGATTCCACCTGGAATGGGAGCTTGGGGAGTGACATCCTTGAACTGCCAGACCTGCCCTGATGCACCCTGCCATACAGGGCAAGGGTGCTGAAGAGCTGTGGACAAGGTGCTCATTATCCCCCCCAGCTCATTAACTAGGGTGGCTTTGCTGGAGTTTGTCAATTTGCACAGTGAGTTCCCTACAGGCTGCACAAAGCAGGGCCCACGTGGCAAGCTCACTGCCCAGGACACCCAGCAAGAGGCAACCCACAGCACAAGGAATATTTTATTCAGCATATTCAAATCACACATGTCCTGCCAAGGACTATTGCTGCCTCCCAATAGCATGACAACTGCTGCACATTGCCCCAGAAACTTCCAAGCTGAAGACCGGCACAAGTCTTGAGACATAAAATTAAGCAAGTGTTTATTGATATATACTGGGGTTTGGCCCTGCCCAGGCACATGAGTAAACAAGAGACTATCTGAGGAGAGGAACTGCCAGAGGGTCCCCAGCAAACCTCCCCCAATCTGTCCTGCCCTCTACCTCTTTGAGCTGCAGCTGCCCATCCTGATTGTGGTCCAGCAGATTGAAAATGTCCATCTGGCTGATTTCAATCATTTCCATGGCTTCCTCATAGTCATCTGTTGGTAGGATCTGACTCTTCTGCAGCCCTTTCAGCTTTGCTAGATGGACGATGAGCTTGCACTCCTCCTCTGTCAGGAAGTCGGGAATTTCTGCAGCAAAAGTGTGAGCAACAACAGAGACTGAAGAACTGTTAGAGTGCGATCCCATACCCATGGCAGGAGACGCAGAAAAAAAAAAAGAAGTGGAGGGGAAATTTATGAACTGCCTAAGTTTGGGCCATTCAAACACATCCACCCTACTACCAGAAGAGCTCTCAAAGAGCACACACCACACACCTGAGCTGCTGGAGGCAGGTATTTTTATAGCAGCAGTTCCTAAATGTTTGGATGTAGGGGTCAAGCCCTGAAACTCTCTCACAGATACCACAATGGACAAAGGAGTGAACAAACACGTGCATATCACTGCATATTACCACTTCAAAGGTGCCGTGTGGATCACAGTCTGGGAACTGCTGCTTTACAGGAAGGGGGGCCAAAAACCTTTATGGTGGGCAGTGGTGACGGTCAGGGTGTCAGGCTTCCCTGCTCTCATGTGGAGAGGAGGGCACTTTGCACAAAACCAAACAGCTTTTGCTCTACTATGAAACTCAAACAGAAAGGAGAAAAATTCCAGCTGTATTCCCACTAGTTCCCTTTATGCCCCACTAAAAATGGTTTTCAAATGCAATACAGAAACTGCACATGGCAATGCCATGTGCATATCCAGGTACTGCCAGATTTCCTGAAGCAATCAGGCAATTCCAGGATCCCATGCAAATCTGAATGCAGAGAAATCCTCTGATGACCACGAGGCTAGGAGATTTCTAGCTGCATGGTACACTGGGCATGCACTTGGAAAGCACTGGAGAGCAGTTAGTCTGTTGCCCAGGAGGTTGAGAAGATCCTTCTGGCTGGTGTCTGCCACTGCTATGGTGAACCTGTTACCAGCTGCTGCGACTTTTGAAAAGGGAAAGAAAAACCACCAATGCAGGACAGGTTTAAGTGTTCCTAGACCCAAGGTCCTGCTCTCCAAATTACAGCTCCCTAGAGCTCCTGCAGGTATATGCCAAGGACACATTATACATCAACTACAGCAACAACGCTAAAATGTGGGGAAAAAAAATTAATTACTTCCATGACCCAAAATCAACCCTATCAGCTCAAGCTGTCAATAAGCAGTTGGCTTCTCACTAAGTACAGACCAGAACTAGCCCTGTAGAAAATGAGCTGTTCCTGGGAAGCCCTAGAACACAATGCAGCCAGCTGTATCCATAACACCCTCCAAGGAAGCAATTTCCGTCACAGGGAGTGCAGGGTCCCCGTGCCAGAGGATGCCTCAGAGCCGGAGCTCCCACCGACCTCGTGGCATGGCACCAGGTCCCAATGAACCATGTGCGCTGGCAACCAACGCCCCCAGTATTTCCAGCTCCCCAAACTGGGCTACAATAATGATGGCTTCTGGAATCTTAATTACATGCTGCAGGAAGGACAATCCTGTTCTTCAGCGGTAGTAACGGGATGTCGGAATGAAGAAGGAATTCTGCTGACCGGAAAAGTGCACTGTCATGCAGGTTGCAAGGTGAGGAGGTTTCCAGCTGAGTGCTGCCAATCCTATCTGCAAACAACCTGGCCCCACAGCTGCAAATTAGTTCCTCTCTGCCCTCAGCTCTCCTAAACAGTTAACTTCTGGCTGTGAGACTATCCTATCTCCCTGCCTGCTGGACAATAGATCCAGCTAAACAAATGCCTCCTAATTGACTTTGAGCAACACTTGATTGCCTTTACAAAAAACAAAAGAGAGGAAAACATTGGGGTTTATGAAATAATGACTAATCCTGGAGCAAGAGAAAGGGGATGGGTTGTAGCAGTGGTGTCAAACAGAGATTCAATCTTGGCTGAAACAGCCCCAAGACACACGGGCCAAGTCATTCATCCCTCCCCAACTGCCCTCATTTCCACACCTGCTGATCTAAGCCAAACCCCTGCTAAAATCCAAACAATCGGGGCCGCTGGCAAACGAAAATTGGAGCATTGTCTTCCCCATGAGGGCTCTGAAAGGGCTGCACTTAATGAGGATGGATTGACAGAGAGGTGGCTCATAGGCTATAAAAGGCATCCCACAGTTCAGCAGCTCAGTTCAGGGTGTGCTGCCCACCCGTCGCTCCAAGCATGGTCACAGCCCACCGCAGGCAGCGCTGGAGGTCGGGTGGCCCATGGGTGCTGGCTCTCATGGCACGTCTGCTGCTCTGGGGCTCTCCAGGGGCCTGGGCAAGCTACCTGAGGAGATCCTCCAGCTGCATGCCCATTCCACACCGCATGGCCTTGTGCTACGATATCGGCTACTCCGAGATGAGGATTCCCAACCTGCTGGAGCATGAGACCATGACAGAAGTGATCCAGCAGTCTTCCAGCTGGCTGCCCTTGCTGGCCAGGGAGTGCCACCCAGATGCTAGGATTTTCCTCTGCTCCCTCTTTGCACCGATCTGCTTGGACAGGTAAGAAGTTTTTACAAGTTATTTCAGCTGTAACAGTTAACTCTCCCCAAGAGCACAACTGCATGCGCCTCCTGAGAGAAAATGCATGTTGTGTGGCCAGCACAGTCCCTGAGATGCTGTGCTGGCCCTCTCAGCAAGGGGCAACTGAATTACCCAGCAGGGAACAGCCCTCTAAAAGTGAAACATGAGCATTTCATCTCGCAGGAGCAGAAGCATTATGTTCCCTCTGGATTCTCCTGCTCTCCCACCCCAGGCACCACTGCCATATCCCCCTCGCACACCACACTAACTGCTGGCACCCATCAGTTCCTCTCCCTCACCCCAGCTTCTGCCCTGAACATGTAGGGGGTTTCCCAGCCCAACACTGCCAGCAGCAGAGAGATATCCCCAGTTTTGAGGTGCAGTGATCAAAGTACAGAGCTGTTAAGGAAATAGAGTATCCAATCAGGCACCTGTAAAGGTAAACTGCCTCCTGCACAACTAGAGAAGTTCCCTGGGGGGGCAAAGGGCTTCTGGCCCGGCATGTATCAAACAGCCTTATCCCTGCTGTTCTCAGAAATGTGTTGTTTGCTTCCTGGACATAAATGTTCAAAAAAATCAAAAGATCCCAAAATAGCCTGCTAGCACCACAGTGTGCAACACAGCCCTGTGTGGCAGCAGCACAGTGCCAGGGCTCGACCCTCAGCCTGCTGCCAGGCGTGGGAGTGCTGAACGCCCCTCCTCCCCTCCTCTGCCCAGGCTCATCTATCCCTGCCGCAGCCTGTGCGAAGCTGTCAAGAGAAGTTGTGCCCCCGTCATGGCTTGTTACGGCTACCCCTGGCCTGAAATCCTCAACTGCAACAAGTTCCCTGCAGATCATGAGCTGTGCATCGCAGCAGTCTCCGTGGATGAAAATTCCTCAAGTAGGAGAAGTAAGGGTTTTTTTCTCATACATTTTCCCCTATGTAGCACTGAAAGCTCTTCAGGATTACCCTGTGTCTTGTTTCTATTCTGCATATTCTGGTTTTAAGCTGTATAAAAAAAAAATAAAATTCTAGTTTTGTTCTCTCTGGGAACTACGTGTAGAAAATTAGCATAACATTGACTCTGGCTTGTTCCTCTCTCTGCTGTATTCATTAGCTCCTTGGGTGCCATCAGACCCCGCTGGGTTTGGGGCACAGGGAAGGAATGGCTGTAAAGCTTCCAGCCCAGGCACAGCAGGAGAGCTCATGGTGTGAAGGCTCCCAGCAGCGAAATGTGCTTCCAGTGGAGCTACTGAACTGCAGCCCTGATCTCTCAGCAGTGCCCAGGGTTTAAGTAGAAATGTTTTGCAAGCCTTCTTTTTAAACGTTAGGGAACACCACAAAGGGGCATGAGTCTCTGCAGACATGAGCTACAACAGAAAAAAAATATCTGTCTGGAAGACTATATTAAACATCCAGATACTGATGGACACTGGTGGAGACTCAAGAGCAGTTAAGGGGAGAACAGACATTTCAACAACGTAATTTCAGCATCACTGGGTGGAGTTTGGCCACACTAGTGGCTTTGCTGTTTCATCCAAACTAGATCATCTTCACTGAGCATTTTCAGTGCTGTTTTAACATGCAGCACACACACAAGCCTGAACAAAGCACGACAAGCAGTGTCTGCCCCAGCCACAGGAAGGGGAGTTTAACATTTCCCACCCTGGCTGTCTGAGATGTCTCTCCAGGGACTGGGCAGCTCAGGAAGAAATGTCACCGGGAAGCAACAAATCACCACTCGCAGATCACACAATTCCATTGTCCCTTTTCTAGTGAAGCTTGACTAGGGTATTCTAACCAAATTTCTGTTGCAGCAGTGCCCCGAGCCAGCTGCAAGGACTGTGAGCTTGAGGAGGCCAGCACTGCCAGGGAGATCCTGGAAAGCCTCTGTGCCAATGATTTTGGTGAGTATCCTCCTCATGCTCTCAATTGCTGCTGTTCCCTCCAGCAGCCAAGCAGTGGTATGGTATGTTATGGACTTGGAAGAACTGCAGCTTTTACAGCAGATCCCAGGGATTTTCAGGACCCACTTTACCTGTGAGGTAACAGGAGAGCTCAGCTCCAGGCAGCACTGATGGTGAAGACTTGCTTTATTTCTGTGGGCTCTTCTGTGTCAGACTGTGGCTGCTAAAAAGAAGCCCTACTCTGGTTTTTCCTTAGAGACCAATGTTTCAATCAGTGCCCACAAAAACCTTTAGCAAAATCCATGTTGGCTATTCCAAACTTCAATACCATTGTTCTAGTAATGTGACTCCCCCTCTTCTAGCCCAAGCAGGCAGCAGTACTAGCTTTGCTCAATCAGCTGGCAGGCAGTATTCAAGATACTGTCCTGAATTCAGGCACACAAACTTTGTGGGGAAAAAAAAAAAAAAAGTTACAAATCCTGGGCATGCCACCTTCTGAAATCCCAGCTCAGAGAAAAGTCAAGTAATTTGCACATGACCAGGACTTGGACACATCCACTTGCTTGTGCCTGTACTTCCTACAGGTTTCATGCAGTGGTGCTGATACAGCTTTACCACTCTTATGAGGAAAATGGATTGAGAAGGAGGTCTTTTCTCCCAAGTAACAAGCGACAGGACAAGAGACAATGGCCTCAAGTTGCAATGGAGAGGTTCAGATTGGGCATCAGGAAAAATTTCTTCACCAAAAGGGTTATCAAGCACTGGAACAGGCTGCCCAGGGAAGGGCACCTGGAGGTATTTGGAAAATGTAGACGTGGCACTCAGGGACATGGTTTAGTGGTGGACTGGACAGTGCTGGGTAAATGGTTGAACTCAATGATCTTAGAGTTCTTTTCCAACCTAAACAATTCTATGAATTTAAGAACAATGTTCAGTACTGGAGACTAACCTCAGATGAGAACTTTTACAAATTCACTGCAATTACAAGAGCTTGGACAGATGCCTCCCCACAGAGACAGCAGAGAAGCCTTGGGCTGGCTCTAAGTAGGTAAGAGCTATGAAAACCAAACAGAATTAACAGCTCTTTTTCCAACCCCTGCAGCTGTGAAAATCCGAATCCTGAGGAAGAACACGACCACCACCATCTCGGACTTTGACCTGGACCCCTCCAGGGTAGAGGTCCTGAAGCATGGCCCACTGCTCAGAACAGAAATCCCCTCCAGGCTGCAGCAGTGGCTGGACATAGACGCCACCTGCGCCCACAACATCATGAGAGGCACCCACGCAGGAGTCTTCGTTGTAAGCGGTGAAGTACAGAGTGACAAAGTGGTGGTGAACAAGGCCTATGCCTGGCAGAAGAAGAACAGGAACCTGCACCAGGCAGTGAGGAGGTGGAAACATCACCGCTGCCCTGAACAGGCAGGGCGGAAGGTCTGAAAATCTCAGTTCCAACAATAAGAAACTGCTCCCTTCCCTATGGCTAGAGAACTCCTTTCCCTGGCAGGTGGTGTTTTGGAGATGTACAGTCCATATTTCTAGGTGATTTGAAGCAGTCATAGTCCACAGATAGGGCCTCACTACAGACACCTGTTTCACCAAGACAGAGCTTAAGGATGCAGGTTTAACATGTTCCTCTCACAAAGCTCTGCAGATCCAGGACGTGTGATGGACAGCGTTGTGTGGGATCCAATGTCACAACAAAACTGAACTCTGCAGGCAAGCACAAACTAGAAGAGACCTTCAGGAACAGTTCCTTATAATTCTCATCATCAGAGCTGGTATATCAGTTTCATTATTTGACCCTGAGACATTGATGCTGCCCAAGTGCCTGCCTACTTTCTGTCCACAGAGATTACACTAGTTTCCCTGACTGCTGAGTGATGCTTTTTATGTAATGGAGCAAACACTTTACTCTTGAACAGCCTGAGGTAAATTAAGGAGGAGCAATGCCCCTTCAAAAATGCATGCTGAACCCTGCTGTTGAGCAGTCACTCAGGCTGCCCCTTCAGCTTCCTGTGCAGACAGCCAACGACCATTCGCACAGGTAAAAGCAAAGAGCCATTTGTGAGCAGGAAAGAAACAGAGCTGAGGATTTCTGCATAACATGGGAAACCATTTCTCAATGTAAAAAAAATCAGTCTGGATGAGAAGATTCTGGTAACTGGGGATATCACAAGAGCCTCGAGAAAGAACAGAGCAGGAGTGAGACATCAGCTGTGCAAACCTCTGTTTTGGTGTGCACAGCAGCTTTGCTCAGGACAGGGAGGTGAGCCCCAGCCACAGCACAGCAGAAGCTACCTGCAGTTTTGACATAGGAAAAACATTTCACAGCTGCCTGGCCTTCCACCTGCACACAAGGCAGACAGAAAAGGTGGGAAAACTCAGCCTTACCAAGTTCTCTGCAGCTCACTCTCTTACCCAAGTAGGACTGTCACTCCTTGCAGGGGTACACAGAGCCATAGCTCTGTGCTCCAGACCAGAGCAGGAAACAGCAAATCCTCAAATGAGAAAACAAGCCTAACAAAGCACTGTGCATGGAAAGTTTTCTCCACTGGCTTAAACCTGGGGCTGAAATAAAAAACATAAGGGAAAAAACAGCCTTTGGGAGGAAAGCCTTCTGCCTTGTTGGTGATGCCTGCAGGGTTGGTTGTGGAGAGCCACCCAGTTTGATGGAGACACATTGCCTCCCCGTGCTGGTGAAGCACATCAACAGCCCTCGGTGTGAGCTCCTCTTCAGACTAGTGTGGGCTGAAACGAGTGCTCAGACACTCACACTGGAATTGAGCTGCGCCCTGACATTTGTGCAGTGATTACTTCTCTTCCCTGAAGCTCAGAAGAAAAACATGGTGAAATTTCCTATTTTTATTCCTCCCCACTGCCTTGTCTTACAAACTGCTGCCCAATCCACAGAATCCTCCGTCAGGTGGTCCCTGCAATGGCAGTGCCTTCTAACAGGCTGCATTTGGAAAACACATAAAAGCTCTGAAGGTTGAAAAGGCTTTGTCTTATTTGTTTTCCATTAACAGGGTTATTTGATTACTCGTGTTTCCCAACTAAAAAGTGCACAGATGGTCTGACTTACAAAGCTTTAGAAATGATGCCTTGTAGCCCGAGGAGGGAAAAAATAGGGCAGGGATTTTTTTCATGGCTCCGTGACATACACTTGGGTTCGATGCAGATGTGACATACTCACATTTGAAAAACAAACCACAAGTTTCCCTCTAGTGCCCAGCCCAAGCTCCAAAGCCCAGAGCTCACATTAAATCATTAATGAGTGTCTGCTGCTGTGGTCCCACTGCAGCCTGCTCTGCAGAAAGCAGAGATCACAGACCAGCCACTGCTTCCCTAAATTGGTTCTTGCATGCCGCAGCACTTTGTGTTAAATGTCCAGAAACTCAGGAGTCTTCACTAAGGACTTCTGTGTTTATCAAACACAACCAAGTTAAATACACATTTCCACTAATATAAGCAACAGATATGCAATAAATTAGTTTTTAAAACCAGTTGGTTTAGATTGGCACTGTTTGCATAGATAGAGAAGCCTCTGGAAGTCTTTTAAAATCAGTGCTGGCTCCTGCCAGGTTCAGCCAGGAGATAAGAGCTGTCTTACAACCTGCAGTTTCTAAATAAGGGACTCCTTATCAGAGGACAAAGGAGAACAGACTCCTGTGGCATCTCAAATGGTGAATGTCTGTCACTGTCTGTGATGGCATCCTCAGGGAGCAGCAAAGCTTCCCTCAGAACTGATGGAGGTGCTGGGACAACAAACTAAAGACCATGGGATTGGTGCTACCAGGACCAACCTTCAGCACCTTCCCTGCAGGCCAGGACCAAGGCTTTCACTGCAGTGGCACAGGGGAAGCTGGAAACAGGAGTTTTCCTGAGGGAAACCCAGAGCCATTGCCCCAGTCTATGACTCTGGTATTGGTATCAGCTTTGCGATGCTGTGGGGTATCAGTTCCAGGCTGGTATGTCTGTTTACTGAACATCAGACAGAAATCCACTCAGAAATTGGCAAATTGTGAGCAACAGCTATGTAAAAATGAGAAAAGACCTTTGTATATTTCTGCCAGATACTTCCTGCATTAAAGGAGTTTGATAACAAACCTATCTGATTTATGGCCAGGCTTTCAGAGTATATAATCTATTTGGAATCAGAAAAAAAACCTCTATTTACATTACTGACAAAGCATCTGAAAGATTCTCTATTCTATCTTTTCAGAGACAACAGGTTTCCTCTGACTTTGGGATTTTGTAATGATCTGTCCTCATAAAAATTAATTTGTATATTCTCAGTGGATTTCCAGAACACAGAGTTCAATTAATGAGACTTCACCAGTCACAGCAAGAAACCACAGAAAGGTACAGAAGGTTTTAAAATATCTGAAAGGCAGGTCTTGTGTGGTTGTGTATCAGAGCAGCCAAAAATAAAGATAAATCTAGAACTGGATGCAAAATGGTGGAAGACATTAAGTCTATCAATTCTGTTACTCATCAGCACTGAAGCACCAACACTAAATAGCTTTTTCATAATTTATTACTAAAAGTTTGGGGATCTCTTTTCCCTTCCTAATACTGAGCAGCTTCTCCGAGGTCCTCACCAGTGATCGGCTGTCTGTTCCCGGCATTTTAAAGGGAATATGAAAAACCTGGAAAGGTTAATCTTCCAAATTCTTCCAAGTGGGCCATGCAGAACAAGTAACCTCTGCGAACACCGTCTCAAAATACCTTAAACAAAATCACACTCCGTTTAACGCTGCCCCAGGGGAAAGCAGCACAGGGAGGCGATGCAAACACACGAGAAGTCATTTCCCCCCGAGTGGGTGTGAGGCAGCAGCGGGTGTCAGACAGACAGACAGACACCCCCACCGCAGGCAGGAAACCTCCCGGCCCTGCCCGCCGGGGCCCGCGGGCTCCGCTCCCGCGGCACGGGCTGACAGCGCGCCCGGTACTCACCGAACAGGAGCGGCTTGAGGCTGAGGGTGCG